TGAACAAGAAAAGTGATGCCAGCTTGTTTGGAATCATTTTGAGGCAGGAGAATATAGTCCAAAAGGTGCTAAGACCCTTAAGACTAGAATGCAAATTGAATCATTTCAATTGCTTGTTGTTGTTCCGTCATACAATCGAGTCCGACTCTTCGCGACCACATGACGCCAGGCCCTCCTGTCCTCCGGAGTTTGCTTAATTTCATGTTCATTGTATTGATAGCACTGTCTAACCATCTCATCCTTTGCTATCCCCTTCTTCTTTTACCTTCAATCTTTCCCAGCATCAGTGTCTTCTCCAGTGAGTGCTGTGAACTGGTATGGCCCATCTTTTGGGGGTCCCTCCCAGTGTTCCCTTCAAGCTGTGGAGTCTCGTGAGCAAAAATGCTACTTTGTGAGCTACTGGCATTAAAGTTGTGAGCAAGGTATTTGGCTCTGCATAGATTAGTTTGCTCTGGAGCCATCCTGTGTGAGCTGGAGGCTAAAAAACTGTGAGTTAGCTCACACTAACTCAGCTTAGAGGGAACATTGCCCTTGCCACCCATAAAACACTAGCTGCCATCTTGACCTATAACCTGCTGCCCCCTTTGAGTTGGACAAGTCAGCAGGGCTATTTTTGGGCAGGAACGCACAGGAACGGCGTTCTGGCTGGCTCCCAAGTTGGCCACGCCCAGCAGGAACTCATTAGCATAATGGGCCACACCCAACAGCAGGAACTCATTAGGACTGGCTACATTAGGGGTGTATGGCCTAACATGCAAAGGAGTTCCTGCTACACAAAAGCCCAGGGTTTTGACAACAAACAAGGTAAACAGAATAACAAGCAAAAGGTGGGTGTGGCTGGATGACCACACTTCTGGTAACATGGGGGTGCGGCCTAATGTGCTAATGAGCTGTGCTGTCAGGGGTGTGGCTCAATATGCTAATGAGTTCCTGCTGTTGGGTGTGGCCTGTTATGCTAATGAGTTCGTGCTGGGCTTTTTCTACAAAAAGAGCCCTGGAGTGAAATTCTCCCTGTGATCATAAAGCGCCAGAATTCGGTGGCACTCCTTGGACCAGTATCACTTCACCATTAGGTGATGGAAAAGGACGTAGATCTCCGTGCTGTGACACTTTCAGGCGGTGACTTCAGTACGAAAAAACACCTATGTTCTCACCAAGTGTTGGGGTTTGGGCCTCCACCTCCCCTTTTGTAACTCTAGAGTGCCACCTTAGAAGACAGATTCAGGTGGGTCACCGTGTTGGTCTGAAGCAACAAAGTTTGAGTCCAGGGGCACCTTTAAGACCAACAAAGTTTAGTTCTGGGTATCAGTTTTCGTGTGCACGCACATTTCTTCAGAAATGTATCTGCAGATGTGTGCATGGGCACGAAAGCTTATCCCCAGAATTAAACTTTATTGGTCTTAAAGGTGCCCCTGGACTCAAACTTTATCCTAGAAGAAAGTTACACTCCTTGAAATCCATTGAAGAAAATTGATTCAGAAGGGTGTAATTCTGCTTAGGATGGTGCTGTTAGCATCTCTCCTCCTTTATGTTTTTACAAATCATGTGAGAGCGCTCGGCTTCAGTTCAAAGTGGTACAGTCCCAACACGGCTTTACCACCTTGATAAAAACTAGGCCTAAACTAGCACACCCGCTCTCTATTCATCTAGGATTAGGGGATCTAGGCTTTAAGGCTAGAAGACTGAAGAGCAGACTCAGACCCCCCTATATGTCCCTTTTTGTAAATTAAAACCTGCTCCACTTATTGGTCAGGTATGTGTACATTGTCTTCAAGCAGGGAACTTGCCGGTACGTTCTGAGCTCGAGAAAGTTTAAAGGAAGACCAGTGCAAGGAGTAAGAGAGAAATACTCCCTGCACATCGCGAAAAGCCAGATGACCGGGGGGGGGGGGGAGAACACCTGAGACGAGTTCTATTCTATAGCACGGCACCCTTGGGTGCTTGCTGAGGCCCCCAGCCTAGCAAAGGGCTTGCTACCGAATTGTCTCTCATTTCTCAAAGGAAGACGTGCCTGGGGGCAGTGCAAGAAGGAGTGTGCAAGAGCATCGTGCTCTGCAGCCCGCTCCAGGCACCTCTCCCATTTGGCCCAGAAGCCTTTGCAACATTGCAATTCTTCTTTCTAGCTCCTTTTCGACTCAGTGGCACTCCACAGACTCAAAGGGATGCTGTTCAATGTCTCATAAGAACATATGGGGAAGCTAGTGTTGGATCAGCCCAATGGCCTATCCAGTCCAACACTCTGTCACACAGTGGCAAAAAATACCAGGTGCCATCAGGAGGTCCAGCAGTAGGACCAAGACACTAGAAGCCCTCCCACTGTTCCCCCCGCCCAAGCACCAAGAATACAGAGCATCACTTGCCCCAGACTGAGAGTTCCCATCCATATCTTGTGGTTAATAGCCACTGATGGACCTCTGCTCCATAAGGTTATCTAATTCCCTCTTGAAGCTGTCCATGCTTGTAGCTGCCACCACCTCCTGTGGCAGTGAATTCCATGTGTGAATCACTCTTTGGGTGAAGAAGGACTTCCTTTTATCTGTTCTAACCCGACCGCTTCTTCTATTGTGAGAAAGGGAGAAAAGTACCTCTTTCTCTACCTGCTCCATCTCATGCATAATCTTATAAACCTTGATCATGTCACCCCTCAGCCATCGTTTCTCCAAGCTAAAGAGCCCCAAGCATTTTAAGCTTTCTTCATAGGGAAAGTGTTCCAATCCTATTATCATTCTAGTTGCCCTTTTCTGCACTTTTCCCAATGCTATAATGTCCTTTCTGAGGTGTGGTGACCAGAACTATACACAGTACTCCAAGGGGGGGGGAGAAGGGCACTGTGACAAAGACCCCCATAAAAACCTGCAGCTGGCCTTGGTGTATTTCATGTGTTTTCCATTTACAAGGCCAAAGTGCGTACTCAGGATCTCTTAACAGCTAAGGCATAACTAATCTGAAATAGGGGGCAGGACGTAACTGGTTCTTAAGCGCCATCTGAAATAGATTTGGAATTGTTACTGTTTATAACGGTTTTTAATCTGATCTGTAAAACTGTTCATTGAGATGTTGCTCACCGCCCTGAGCCCTGTATAGGGAAGGGCTATAAATCCAATAGAATTTTAAAAAGTAAAATAAATAAGTACTATGTGATCTTGCCCAAGAATATTCAAAGTGGTTTGTTGGATCAGACCAAAATCTAGATTATCCAGCCTTCTTTGCAAGAATCCACTAAAAATTGGCCTATTGGTCCACCAGTAGACCACGCTGTCCTTTCAACCCATTCTGGCTTCTCAAGACGGCCTTTACTTTGTATACATGCTTGGAACTGATACAGCTATGTTTTGATGAAGCTTTTACAGTTATGGACAGTAGCTGGATAATTACTTACCTGTCTAGTATCTACAGATTCTTTGGGATCCCGGTGGGGCTGTTCTGCAGCTTGAAGACTTGATCGAAATCGACTTCCTCCAACGCGTAGCTCATCATTGTGTAGGTTTGTAGCTAGAAGGACATTAGAAGGGCTAAGGGAACCTCAGACATTCAACAAGGTATTGTGGCATGGGCTGTTTTGTAGGGAAGAGCTGACACTGAGGTATAGGGCACTGAGAAGGATGCAAGTGCATATATTCTTGTGTGATCTGAGCGATGCTGGGGGGAAAGCCAAGTTCTAAAGACTGGTTTCAAACAATCACCCTCGGAGGATATGGACTCAGCTTTTGGCTACTGCCTGCTGGGCAACCAACCCTTCCAAATGCTGAGCGCTCCCATAAAGGTGTTTACTTCCCCACCAGCCTTGTAGCTTTTGTGGTGATGGTTTTTGCAAGATGTGTTTGTCACCTCAAACTGCTTCCTCCATGGTGGAACATGCTTCTTGCCTCAATTGCATGTCCCCTCTGGCCACATCTCATGTTCTTGTCCCTGGGGGACACCTGCAGACCGCTTCTGGGCTCGCGTCTCGTTGAAGCCATCTGGAATAATTGCCAATTCTCTGTTCTCCCCACAATGCAGGGATCCTGGTGTGGAGCCTCTGTGAGTTTATTACATTTTTATGCCACCCTTTTTATACATGAGCCAGTATGGTGTAGTGGTTAGGAGCGCGGACTCTAATCTGGGAGAACAGTTTGATTCCCCACTTCTCCACATGCAGCTGCTGGTGTGACCTTGGGTCAGTTACAAGTTCTCTCAGAGCTGTTCACTCAGGGGCAGTCCTCAAAAGAGCTCTCTCAGCCCCTCACAGGGTGTCTGTTATGGGGAGGGGAAGAGAAAGGAGATTGTAAGCCACTCTGAGACTCCTTCGGGTAGTGAAGGCGGGGGTATAAATCCAGTCTCTTCTTCTTCGTCCCTATTTTCACCTGGCAATGTTGGAGGGAACTCTAGAGGTGAAATTGCCCGGGGGGGGGGGGGGAATATCCCAGATGAGTAGCCATGTTAGTCTGTTGCAGTGAAAACAAATAGAAGCCTTGGGGCACACACACACACCAACAGTGCAAACCTAGGCAGAGCTTGCCCATTCTAAAGCCATTGGTTTCAACAGGTTTAGTACGGAGTAACTCTGCACAGGATTGCACTGTAGAATGATTGTTAACATACTGTGCAAGCTGCAGCGGACTAAATGAAGTGGTCTCTAGTCCCCGAGAGCTTATGCCTTAATAAAAACGCATTAATCTTTAAGAAGCCAAATGAGGCAGCTGTCTCTGTGCCTCATCTGTAAAGTGCATGGGACTGAGTGGTGGAGAAGATCTCAAGTGGTCTCTCCAGTCCACCTGGGCAGAAACTGAAGCAGAGTTCTTTCCTACTAGTTTCCCTACGTGTGAGAGAGAGTGAGTGAGTTGAGTTGACTATCAGATCAGAGCCGGCAGAGGAGAGGGAAGTGAGAATCCAGCCTGAAAACAGCCCTTGGCAAAAAAGGCTGTTTGCTCCCAGCGCACACCCATAAGAGTCACCCTGCAGACGGAAGTGGGGAATGTATGCATGACACACTCAGCGAGCTGCTCTCTCTCTCACACACACCTCCCTGGCTTTGCAGGCTCCGTCTGCTCTCCTATCTGCTTGCCTGCCTTCTGTTTTCCCCCCAGCTGTTCCTGGATTGGAGAAGTCGCTCGCAACATGGGGAACATGGCTTGTGTTCCCCAGGCCCCTGGGAGGTTCAGATACTCTTTCTCCAGGAAGCCTTCCCTCAGGAAAGAGTGAGTATGCCAGAATCTTTGTTTTAAGCCTAACTTTAAGGTATCCCCCCCTCTTTTCTTCTCTTAAGGGTTCACTTACTGTCTTTGTGTTACCTTCCCAAAGGAACTGCTTCAGCTGTCTGGCTTTCCCTGGGAGAAACTGGTCACTTGCATGTCTGCAATTTTCTTGCACTTCGGAAACTTTACAACAGTTTCACACTCCTAGAGGAAGGGACTTTGACTGTGAAGTTCTGGGTTTTTGTTTTTAATTCAAAAGGAGTCAGCTTTTTCCATTTTAAATGATATTTGTTTTTATTATCTGGAGGGGGGTGGTCATTGGCACCGCTTGAGTTTTATTTCAGTGTTTCGTGGAATCTTTGCCTTACCTGTAGGGCAGCATTAGCAAACGTTCCCGGTCTCAGAACTTTTCGGGGGGATTCATTGCCCCCAAATATTTACTGCTGTTGACTATGGCATGTTTGTGACAAATAGCTTGCATACAGTGGAGGGGCCACAGTGGTTTATTTGAAAGGAACAGAAGTAAGAGATTTTAGATATATAAGGAATGGTGTTCTTTTAACTAAGGTTACCAGATGTCCTGTTTTGAGAGGACATGCCCTTTTTTTTTTGGTATCCATCCTCTTCTGGGCTCTTTAAAAAAAAAAACCCTGATGAAAATGTCCTCTTTTTGTGTTGGAAGGTTAGGAATATTCCTAGTTAGTAGCAATGATCACAGCTTAAAAAGTAGGAGTATTTAAAATGAGTTTTGTGCCAGTTTCGCTTTTTAAAATATGGTAACCCTATCCATACATCCCTACAGAACTGTGATCTAGTTGGCCAGTTTCAGAATTCCACTGGTACAGTCATGCTTTCCTGCACTTTTCCTAAAGTGACCGAACCTCATAAAGGAAAAAGCATGCAAAGTGCATGGATACTGTTGCACATATCTATTTTGCTACATGTAGCTACCATTGTATTAATTATGCATGTGACCGTCGCATGTAAATCTCTACTGATGCATGCTGTTTCTTATATGGAAACATTATCTGTGTAGGAATTCCATCATGTTTGAAGTGTGATCCTGACACAAAGGAATATTTGGATACCAGAACCCCGTATTTTAGGCCTAGGCTAAACTGATTAAACTGATTTAAAAATTATTTTTTTCAAAGCAAACTTAGATCTTCACAACAATACCCCTGCTTAGATTTTGCTCTTTGTGATGATTGTGTTTGCTTTTTACAAAAGTGTAGCTGACGATTGACTGGCAGCCCCCACCCCACACCGCTGGAATTCCCCCTTCCATTCCAGGTTTCCCTCCCTCCCCCTAAACTCTCACCGTGCTTAATCGGACTCTAGATAGATTCTGCCTATCCACTTAAATGACTGTTTGTGTATATGGAAGATGGGGACAAATAGCTCACATTCCTAGGTGACAATAAAGCTCAAACAAAATCAGGCAGCTTAAGCACCAGCCGTAAATTTCAATGTGAGCACATACCTGGTGAATCTACCCAGCTGTGTGTTTCTAAGCCTGAAACTGAAGACATGTATGCAGAATCGCTTTAGGATGAGCTGACCAATACTTTCAACACAAGGGCTGGTGGTTGCGCAATTCCACTGACAAATGCATACAATCCAGTTCTGCGTTTGTTATTGACTGGACAAAAAAAAAAAAGGACAATTCAGAGGTGTGGAATCAACTAAGATGAGCATGAATCAACTAAGATGAGCATGTGACGTGTGGAAAATGCAAAGTATTCAGGGGCCGTCCCGCATGTACCCATGTGCAGATATTGTAACTGATGCTATTGCACATACAGCTCCCAGTTTGAGAGGCATTAAGGCATCATTAAATTTTGGCACTGGAGCATGCAGTTGCAAAATGTGGGACTCTGATCAATATTCATGGACTTCTCTTTTCCTTTCCTAATCTTGGAATGAACCACCCCAAAATGTTAATACCGTAGTATGAAAAATTGCATGATGGGACACCATGGGAAGTAAGAACCTGCCCCTCCTTCTGTGCCATTAGCGCTTCCTGTACCTCACTGATGAGGGGTGTGGCAGTTTGCAAAAGCAATGGCATATTTAAAACATTCTACAAACTCTCCAACAGGTGTACTACTGTGTAAATTGTTCACCCTGACTCTGCTGAGCCAGTGACTTCAGCTGGGTCAATTGTTAAAAAAGCAACAACTTCCCCAGTAATTTCACTGTGCATTTTCCTTTGCTTCATCAAGAAACTATATCCAGTAGGCTTGCCATTCTCCAGGCGGGGTCTGGAGTACTCCTGGAATTACGGCTGAATTATACGCTACAGGTATCAGTGCCTCTGGAGAAAAATGGCAGCTTTGGAGAACAGAATCTTTGGTATACCGTGGATTCTAGGGGAAATCCTTCCCCAAACTCCAGGAATTTCTCAGGTCAGAGTTGGCAACTGAATTAGGGTTGCCAGCCTCCAGGCAGCACCTGGAGATCTCCCGCTATTATAGTTGACCTCCAGATGACCAAGATCAGCTCCCCTGGAGAAAATGGCTACTTTGGAGGATGGACTGTATGGCTTTATACCCTGCTGAGGTCCCTCCCCTTCCGAAACCCTGCCCCTCCAGTTTGGTGTAGTAGTTAAGTGCGTAGATTCTAATCTGGGAGAACCGGGTTTGATTCCCCACTCCTCCAGCTGCAGCTGCTGGGTGACCTTGGGTCAGTCCCAAGTTCTCTCGGAGCTGTTCTCTCAGGAGCAGTCCTGGAAAGAGCTCTCTCAGCCCCACCTACCTCGCAGGGTGTCTATTGTGGGGAGGGGAAGGGAAAGGAGTTTGTAAGTCGCTCTGAGACTCTGAGTGAAGGGCAGGGTAGAATCCGATGTCTTCTTCCCCCCCCCCAGACTCCACCCCCCAAATATCCTGGCATTTCCCAACCCAGAGCTGGCAACCCTCACCCTAATCCAGAGCTGTGCAGGGCTGGATACGTTCAAAAAAATACAAGAAAAGTGACAAGTAGTGGGTTTTATTTAAGGCTATAATTTCTCTAAAACCACTAAAGGTAGAGCACCAGACAGAAGAGGAAAACTGGGGGTATAAACTAAAGTCTCCAAAAATACGTATTCATACGTGGCACTGGCAATCTGAGGCCTCTCAGCAAAGGTGGCGTGCTCAGCAATTTAGCAGAATGATGTGACCTGGAAATCGCCAAAGCCTTTTCAAACACGCTCGCAGAGATCACTGTCTCGGAATTTTCCTATAGGTCCATGCCATGAATCAAGACAGGACTAAAGAAATTATGTGTCACACAATGCATTGTGGACTTCATTCGGCGTTCTGCGTTTGACCTTTAAAGCCCAGAGTAGTTTGGGGCCAAGGAACCTTCTCCGACAGGGGCTTAGGTCACCTGGAAAAGCCCTGTTCCGTATTCCTCTCCCCATCAGAAATTCAGTAGGTGTGAATGCAAACAATTGAACATACAATTATGGAATGTCCTATATTTAATGAGCTGAGGGCTAGTTTAATTACTCCTTTACTTAGAAATAAGGAAATGCCTGCTGAGGCGTCGGACAGTATGAGGGCACAGGTGACCTGGTTACTATTGGATATAAATGATTTTGTTACTCTCTCTGTGGCAAGATTTATGGGGGCAGTAATTAAACAACAGAAGAATAGCACTTAAGTAAGGTATTATCTTATTTTAGTTTTGTTTTCTGCTAAAGACTATCGCTATATGAACAGTGATAAATAGATGATAGATAGACAGACTGCAAATTAGGGCCTTCTCACGGATGAAATGCTCTCCCTCGTAGTGATGCCAACCTCCAGGTGGGACCTGGGGATCCCCTGCAATTACAGATCATCTCCGGACTAGAATAATAGTTGTTGGGAAGAGACTAGTGGCTAAAGGCCATCACTTTCAGTGCCTGCTTGTGAGCTTCCTTGAAGCAGCCGGCTTGCCACTTTTGGAAACAGAACACTTGACTAGATTGCTTCGTAACAGTAAGAATGTCGTTGTGCCATCTACATAAATGGCTCTTTACAGAATATAAGGAGACATGTCTCTGCCCTAAGGAGCTTACAATCTAAATCTTGACAGGACGGAGCAAGGGAAGGGAAGTGGCAATGAAGATAAACAGAGGAAGAGTCTGCATTCATTCCAGTTGCAAGAATGGAGGCATATTTTCTTCACGAAAACAAACAGAGCCATAGACCCCGTGGCTTTCAACCTTCCTGGAACCCCTTCGGCAGTGATCTGTGGGCCGAGGACCTTTAGCACACTTGCATCAGAGCCCCCCTGTGCACCACAGAAGATTCTAGGCATGTTTTATGGCTCGCTTGTGGAGACTGGCGGGGCGTGTTGAGCCCTGTGTGAATGCAGAGTATGCCATAGACCCAGCTCACTCCAGAATGCAGCCACAGAAGGGGGGAAGATGTGCAGTGGCAAGCAAACAATCTTTGGGAGATGTTTCTCCACCATTACTGATCTTATCGTTAAAGAGCTCCTGATAACCTTCTAAAAAAAACCGCTGAACCTTTGTTCGGACCCAGCAAGACAGTTTTTTTATGTTCTCATGCCCAGGATGTCTGCTGCTGCTGCTGCTTATGGTTTTTTCCATGCTGGAATTTGGAAAGAGCTCTGGTTTTGTGCCATCTAGGGCGAGTGGTACAAGAGAATTGAGGGCAAAGGCGCTCCAGAAACATAATACAGAGGTGGAGCAATTAGAAATTATAGCATAGCGAGCATGTCGTGAATATCATGGGCGTGCATAGTGTCTCCAAGAAGACATGCAAACATTTCAAAATTACATTGGTGCACCCCAGATGCACATTTGAGGAAAGTCACTCCAGGGGACTCGTCAAAAGCAAGTCTTACATACTCAGGATAACACTCTTGTCTTCTGTGACTGGGACCCAAAGGGCTACATGAGGGTTCAGTACGATGCACAGTTACTCTGAAATAAATCCCGCCATGTTAAGTGGGTCTTTCTCTTAAGTAAATGTGCATAAAAGAAGTGCAGACACAGCTTTGCATATGGT